GACTGAGGCTGAAGTTTTTGGGAATTTTCTGATCCTGCTGTCTGTATTGATGGAAGTGCTTGGATCGGAATGGTTTGAATTGGAAGGACTGGTATAGATAACAACGGGGTTTGAATAACTGGTACCACACCTGTTGTAACAAATGCAAAATACGTTTCAAACGAGGATCAGTTATACAGAAATAAGTAGCATATGTTTTGGAGTTACATCTTACATATTCAAGAGTTGTGTCTCAAAATCTCTTGTGTGTTAGGGAAATGCAAAAATTTTCCTTAAATGAGGTAATCACCCGTCTTGAAGTTAAAAATAGCTCAGTTTATTTTTATAATATCATCAGTCAAATAGATATTTTCCGAATTATGATTTTTAAGAGGATTTTAAAACTCATATTCTTATTTGTAATTTTTGTAACACCTGGTGGACTAGAAGCACCTCCGGAAGTTCCTCCTGTCCCCCCTGTTCCTCCTGTCCCTCCTGTTCCTCCTGGTCCAGAACTACTGGGATTTGCTACACCGCCAGTTGTTGTTTGGGGAATTGATCCTGATACTTGGTTACTACCCGCCTTATCTGGATTACCTGTGGCACCTGGAGTGACTACGCCACTGGAAACAGCTGGGGCTTCTCCTGAAACTCCTTTCACCTGGCCTCCACCCATCTGATTTGGATTTTCTGAAGTAACGGAGCTGCCTGCCCCATTACTGCCTGGTGATCCTTCAGAGGGTTTACCATTTCCTTGATTGCCACCAACTGGATTAGGATTAGCTGCTGTAGCAGAGCTGGCTGAAACTTCACCCGTTGCTCCTTGTCCCTGGCTAACACCGCCTTGCGCTGATCCATTTGTAGAAGCAGTTGACGGGCTCATTGCACTATTAGTGCTAGACCCTTGAGTAGTGACCTTCCCACCAGTTTGACCAGACGATGCCTGCCCTGCTGACCCATTATTATTTGGTAATGGGTTCATAGGAACTTGACTTCCTGAGTCTTGGAGCTCATTTTGTGGGCTGTCATTAATGCTATTGACATTATGGAACGGATTTTCTGCAGCTAAAGTCGGATTAAATGCAAATCCTCCATCATTCCAATTATTTAGGGGAGCGGCTGCAAGAGTTGTTCCCACTTCATAAGAAGTACGTGTGGGTCGCGTGCCAACATTTCCTGTGGTTGATGGTCTTTGAGAAGGATGAACACCTGGGCCCGGATATGAGTAATCATGCTGTGTACTTTCACCTCCCAAGGCGGAGATCCAAGAATCTATTGCTTTAGTTTTAAGAAAACGGGAAACATAAGTAAAACTGACCATCTTAACTCAAACTATGTATATCATAACTGAGTAATAAAAAGTTTTGATACCAACATGAAGTGGGACCTGGGCGTGAAATTCATTCCACCGCCCTAGAAGTCAAAGTAAGCCTTCCAATATATGGTGAACTTATGTGGCATTCAGTACTTAGCCTTTCTTCATATCTTTATCCACTACTTCTCCTTCCTGACTTACAATACTGTTTCACCAAACCAACCTGATTTATCCCCATCCAATTGGTCAAGAATTGGTGGAAGACCTTGCAATAAGTCGTTATCTGTGTAGGGAGCCTCTTCGATCTCGTTGGCATCTAAAGAATTTTCTTCTTTGTAATACCCACTATGTTTTCCCTTTTGAATGACGGACGGATCAGAAACAACTACATTTGCATTGAGCGTCTTAGAGTCGGTCACTGTGGAGTTACACAGATAAGGAAATAATGTTTCAAAAGGAAATGGTACGTACATACATAAGTATAAATATAGGGCCAGGGGTCATGAAAAGAGTTGGAGAAAGACCTCATGATAGTATTAAAAGTCACGAGTTTAGTAAAGATAAGCTCATGGAAATACAGAAATTCGACAGAGAGGAAAAAAACAACAATTTTTGAAATATGTCATTTTGTTCTTAGTATGTGAGAACTGCTGAGTATCATTCATAACCTGAGCAATATGGCCAAAGAGATTTGGGAGAAACTGTTCACAATTTTCAGCACAGCTTTTATATTTCTGTTTTATTTTACGGTCTTTTTAAGCGAAAACGTCAATCATGAACAAACAGTTTCTAAGACATGGTTTGATGCTACTCTGGTTTACAGATTTAATGAATGTAACCAAAGAAGTTACGATTCATAGACCCAACGTTTCGACACTCCTGTCTAGTCGAAAACGTTGGGTCTATGAATCGTAACTTCTTTGGTTACATTCATTAAATCTGTAAACCAGAGTAGCATCAAACCATGTCTGATTGTCAACCTGGTTGCCGTGTGAACTTTAACATATTACACAGATTCTAGTTCGCTGATAATCGTTACATGTCAATAAGAATAATATATCCCAGATTTTGCCATCCTCTCTTTTGTTACTTGATTTCAATTTTTAAAGCGCAGGCAATAAAAATTACTCGCTATTAGCCTTACTCTAGACAAGCATGTACCTCCATTTAAAAATCCAACCACTGTACCGGACATTGCTGGCAAATACTTGATAACCGGAACCTTGAAAGCGTAGAGTGATGAATCAGCAATGGTTGCCAACTGCTTCATATCTGCTTGACCACCCACACCTATGGTTACGACTCTCACACTTAATCTGCTTAGTTCTTTCGCCGCGTTAGAAACGTCATCCACCGATTTTCCAGCCATGACCACCACCACGGCTTTTGGAGAACCACTTGGCATTTTCATGAAAACATTTTTATTTAAGATCTCAAGAGACTTTCCCAACTCGCAACTTCCACTTACGGGGATAAGCTTGTCAAGTGTGAGGTCAAGTACTTTGGAATTTTGAATTTTTCTGGGAAGGATGTTTCTCTGGGTGTAACGTCTACTGCCACATTCTAGAAGCCCAAACGTAATTCCTCTCGTAGGAATGTTTAAGTTTTTATACACCTTTTTCACAAACAGTCTGTACGAGTTAAGGTCCTCATTGCCGATTTTTCCTGAGCCATCTAGTATGAACACCACTTTTGCCGAGCCTGAAATAATTAAAGAAATTGGCTTTAAGACGAAAGACCCTTGAATAATTTTCTTAATGAAAATCATTTACGTATAATACGTCATATTGAATCTCATCTGTCTTCGAGGCAGTTGATTATCAAAAGAAGAAGAGGTGTAAGGAGATGATGATGGAAAAAAAATAAAAGGAGAAAGAAGAAGAAGAAATGAATGTTTTTCCAATGTCTGGATCACAAACCATGTATTACGAACAGAATCAGAATTTTTCACCGCTCATTAATCTACCTTTGAACTCCTATGCTTTAATATGTTTCTTCAGATATCCGAAGTCTTATTCTACTCTTATTGTGCTATCTTCCACTCTACCCTGCCTCACTTTAACAATCATCTATCTCATACCCCTATCCTGTTCGACTGTAATCAACACCTCGTTTAACTAAACTGAAATTATTCTTTTTTCTTACCAGCTGGTCTTAACGATGCATCTTCCTTTTCTTTGATGAATGACGCGATCCTGTCCAGATAGTCCCGACCCGAGGATCTTTTAGATAAGTTTTTAAAGGGTTCGTGTCTTCCAGTTGCGAGGGCCTGTCTAATTTTCCAAAGTTGGACGTATTTTTTGTGCTTCAAGCTGTCCCTGGACGGTGTCATGTTTAATGGACGTACCTTTTCAATTAACCATCTGCGTTCACGATGAAAGGACGATGAAACTAAAAACGATCAATTTCATTATATTAGTGAGGAACTCCTGTGCTTCGGCTTCATCTCGATTCATTATATACTTTTATTCTACCATGACTTAAAGCAGTCACTTGCTCCTTCTTTTCAGGCCTCCATCCAAGAAATATTTTTGCTTAATACCATTATTTGTCCTCATTAACTTGATTTCATACCATTGCCATAATAAACGTATCTTGTAATGATATGAATCCTTACAGTAACAAAAATAAGATTCGTATTTTCTCCCAAAATCACGTATTTTCTTTAATACTTTTCACAATCAATTTGCACAAATGGAATTTGGCACCCTCTAAGAACTGGTTTCTCCAATTGATCACGTCTGATACAATGAATGTTTGGCTGACCCAGAAATTACGACGTAAAATATTAAGACGGCAGAGTTTGTACTCGGTCGCTGGAGATGGATCAAGATTGTTAATTCTCACTAGCGTGGGACGAAGTTCTAAGGGGTACGCATATTCTTCATTGGTCTCACTCTGCAACAGTTTTATTTAAATTTAAGATTATTTTAATGAAACTGCTTTCAACTTAAAGAATGATCATTAAGCAAGGATAACCCAGTGAACTTATGTACTTAAGATTTCTCCTTGTCGCTCAAGGCTTAGTAAATTTATTCTATGATAAGGAAACAGTAATACACAAGCACATCCACTAATATATATATTCTTTCAGGCGTTTTTCGATCAGAGATCTAGCGGTAACACTAAGTTAAATTTGTTTCGAAAAAAAAAATTAATTAAATCATCGAGTTCCAGGATATTTATTGGCTTGATTGAGTTATGCATCAACAAAAATTACTTGGAAAAAATAACTTATCACTCAATTGTCATGTAACTGCTTTTGATGTAACTCTAGGGGCTGTCTAGATCCCAAAATAATGATCGAGATATATACATACCGGAAGTATCCTTAAATTGTGGTGGTCTTGGTATCCCGCCTACAACTTCCAACAAAAAAATGTACGCCAAAAATAGAATGGAAACATAGTGCTTTTGTAGTAAAATATCTAAAATGTGGACGTTTTTCACCATAGTGACTCATTTTAAATCCACCGATATGGACCAGGTATTATGTTTCTCGTGAGCCATCGTCATTTTAACGTTATATTCAATTTCCACGGCGATAAGCAATCTTCAAAATTACTTATGCTAGTTGAAGAATTAAGTGGGAGGTAAAGAACACTTGACCCGTTAATTCAGACCTCAATATAAGACCAACAAAACCCTTTTCAAGCCAACTGGTGGTCTGCACTTAAAAGTTATACATCAATTATTAACTACCGCCAATTTTAAAACTCCTTTATTCTTCAATAACATAACCTACACATTAATATACCAGAATAAACGTTGGTCAGACATCATAGGTACAATGTATCACTTTCCCAGAACTCAAAAGATAATTCCTACTTCTTTTTTCCTCTTTTTATTTCTTTTGGAATGACAATGTAAAAGCTTCTTTGTTAAAAATGCTACTTTTATTTCTCGTTTAATTTCATACTTATCTTTACCACAACGTATTAAACGCTTGATGAGATCAAGCGCTTTGAAGAAGTCAAAACAAGTTACTAAGTCCTAGGTAAATGATGCCGATCCTGGCGATTTTTATTTCTCTCTCTCTCTCTCTCTCTCTCTCTCTCTCTCTCTCTCTCTCTCTCTCTCCCTCGATGAACATTAACTACAATGTGGACAATGAGGAAAAATTAGATACTACCAAGATTGCCTGAGCTGTCTTTGGTCACACAGTTAGGATAACAATTACTGGAGTCTCAAGAAACCCGTCCTAGGTTTATGGTGCTAAGATTAAAACATATCAATCCGATTGGCTCGGCCATAGTAGACGTCGTTCAGTCCTTACATTGTGTTTCTAGTCTAAAGAAAAAAACCCGAACCACAAAAGGATCATGGATTATTCCAGTTAGCTCCAACAAAATCTACCTCCCCATTTCGTACGTTCCTAAAATTAAACATTAAAAAAATTAAACAAATACTGAAAACATACTCAATTGAGCTAATTGGAACAGTACTAATGATATTGTTGTTGATGACAATACCACTGATGATGATCATGTTAACGATAGTGATTATGGTAAATATACTTATAATAGTAATAAGAATGACAATGATAATAGCATCACTCATCCATAAAAAATTTATCAAGGAGCATCATTCATCCAAAAAAACGAAAATCAATTCTTAAAACATATAAGGGAACCTGGCTATGTCTAACTATACACCATCGAGCGATGTTGTTTGTAGGCTAGGGCAAGTCTCTAAGAAAGCGCTATCTAAAGAGACTGTTTGCTGTTTATTACTTAGAAGCTTAAAATAAAAGCTCAGACGTACTTTTTGCAGTATCCACATGAAAGTGCGCATGTCTCATGGATGTCGCGGAGGTCTTGGAAGAGTCCAGGCCAATCACAAAGTCCGTTTAACGCGTAGGAGCCACATAATGGATGCTGGTCTTTGCAAAGACCTGCAAATAAGGATTTGTAGAGTATATTCAGACAATGATTTTGGTTCTGTGAATGAATTAGGAAATTCATGCTAACTCCCCATTGATTCGTGGGAAAGGATACACGGTAATTGCTTCATGGAGGGAAACAAGGGGCTTTGCATCACCTCATGATCCATTTTTAAGGGTTGAAGGGGGGGGGGGGGATAAATCGCTCGCTTGTCTGTAGTCAAGATCAAGGTATTCAAAAAGCTAAAAAGTTTAGTTTTCTTTGCCACCAGATTCCCAATTTACAGGAAATATCAGTCCATTCCTAAATGTTTTACCTAAGCTACATAACATCAAAATTCATTAAAAGCAGCAAATAATAAAATAAGCATCTAACAGCACTTTTAAAAGGTACAGATATAGCCTTACCAACTTTAAGCGGAACAGTGTACACCTGCAAACTCTTTTGCAAAGGACGAGGCTGCCTGCTCTCTTTGTGTCTGACTTTGGTTCTTGTTAAAATGAGATCCCAAAGTAACTTTGCTCGAGCAGCTTTATCGCCATCGTCCTCTTTGTAATGGCTGTCGAGCCTCTTGAGGGCTGTAATGAGTAGTTTAATCAGAAATGAAGAGTGGCCCTTATGAATAAGACAAATCGTAGCACCAAATAATAATGGGATAACCACCAAATCAGTTCATGTATAAGGTATGGCTGATATAGATTAAGCCTTTATACATTGATCGTATTACGAGCAAAATACGACACCATTTAACCCGTTTGCGGATTACATGAACTGAAAGATTCATTTGTGAATCTATAACCTAGCAGAAAAGACTTAAAAATAAAATGACAACTGATGTACTTTACCCGAGTGATGGTTTCTCGGACGAGTCACGAAGACTAATGGTATGACAACGAATGATAAGTAGAGAAATAGTCCAAAACGGGCGATCATTATTATAGCGGCGAGCCAGCAATAAGTCGTTTCCAGTCGAGACTACAATGAATAATCGATAACCTCCCTAAGTCGATTGCTTCCCTTCTAAGTGGTTTACGACAGGGGGTTTTGTTTGTCTGGGGTGCGGCCATTCACCCTTGAATATCCCGATGATTGACATGGGGAGTAAATAGGGCGAATGAAGTTTTATACCAGCAATATTATCAGTTTTACAAATCTTCATTTGCTAATAAGCAAGATGGTTGTTAACCTGAAACAATAGCATATGGAAAAAATAAACATACAGAAAACTTTACTGACATATCACTTGAAGTCCTAGATAATAATTATCAGTGGTGTATGTCCTAATGAGTAAGATAACAAAACCACCCGCTAACAAACCAACCATAATGTGATATGTGATCTAATCGCTTTCCAGCCTGGTGATACGACCTTTGATCAGCTTTACTACCTCTTTCATTGCTAAAATGATTAAAACAAGTGCAATTTCAATATTTTACACTAAAAAGGTTTTATTTGCACTTTCCTGACTAATTCCAGTTTCAACGGACTGTGACACCGTACTCGAAAGAAAGTTTGTTTATAATCAAGGCTGATTACAAACAAAGTGTATTGATGTAGGTTAGATTAAAGATGTCTGGTAAGGTTCAATTTCAGATCGGTTGCGAAGGAAACCCGTCCAAAAATATGTACTCCAGTCATTTCCATGCGCTTTTTATTTTTGGAATTTTATGAAATTTGCTTCATGTCCAAGCCACATTGCTTTAATAACTGTGTTGCTACGCTTTAACAATCACATGATTGTTCACCCTGAGTCTATGTCTCTACTACTTTTTTATTCAGTTTATTTATTAAGTAAAACAAAGAACAAAGGAAAAATGCTTATGGAATTAATTAGTCGGTGATCGAGGTTCCTTTAAGTCCTTGGCAGTGACTAGAATCGAACTTCTTCTTACAGTGGCACCGCTTGATCAAACGTTAAGGTCACGAGAATAGATGGAATGATTGCCACTTGGAGTTTCTCTTGATTGTTAGACAAATTCTCCTTGTCAATATCACAGGGGCTTTTAAAGAACAATTTGTGAATACGCTTGCTGATTTTAGCTTGCAAAAGGGTTAACAGAATTCGTAATAATGACGATTCCCCTTAAATCTCTTTAATTTTGGTTCAGGCCTTTGAGTAGTCCTTCATTTCTAGGATACTAGACTCTCGTCGCTTGGATGATCGCAATCGAGTCCAATATTGCAGATGTATTTGAGATTTGGCTTATTTGGAAGGAGAGCTCAACTAGTACCTTAGAGGTACCGGCGGGAATCCGGTCAAAGCCTTAGTTGTTTCAAGCTTCGTTTCTGCAACATCTTAACTTGCAGCTCGACTGCCACGATCTTTTTTTCACTTGTTCATAAACTGAACTATAACTCCGTAGTATCGTAAGGTTAAAGGTCGGATTACATCGTTAGATGGAGAAAATTATCACAAAACCAGGTAATCTTCGTCCACAACGTAGAGTGTAACGAGGATTTTCTGATTGGTTGTGTAGTATAAACACGGCACTTATTTTCTCTACAATAATCAATGTGAAATTAAAACAATCTCACAAAATTCTAAAATTTATTTGGAATTATGCAACAATTTTTTTTACGCTCGTTTCTTTAGAAATAAAAATATATCCATCAAACTTAGCTTTACGCCATTTAAATTATTCAAAGCTAAATTATTCTAAACTTATCGTCACTTTTCCCTTTTTGTTGCCATTTGTGGCTGTGCATGTATCACGGCTATCCTACAAAATAGCTATTCGTCGGGCAATTTAAGCCTCCCCATCTTTCGTAAAAGTAGAACTGTTTCGTGTGAGTTATTTCAATTTATCGAATGGTTCGCCCGATCCACTATTCAGTTCGTCTCCTTCAGTAGGCTTCTCTGACTGAATCACACGACCCAAGGCCTGATGACTTTTCTTTACTCCAACTTGTTCTTCTTTAGAGTTGCTTTTAACATCTTGAGACTCGAGTGTTGAATTTCCCTCGAGATCCCTATTTCGAATGATTTGTACTAAGGCTCTGTTCAATTTCGCACGCATTGCAGGTCTCACATGGAGTCCAGGTGTCTGCCTTCGAAGAAGTGCCGCATTCTCGTCGTAACTGAAACAGAATAATCGGGAACAGATGTTTAGCTTTCGGTGATGTCTTTAGAGTATACATTTAAGGAGCAGTGAATATTGGGTAAGGCGTAGAACATAAAAAACCAGTAAAGGAAGGATATTTGGAGTGGAAAGATGATTTACTCACTTATTACAAATCCCGCAAGAGAAAGGACATATTTTTCGTATTTGTTGAATGGTGTGAAAAGGCGATGCATGATTACACATTCCCCTCTTGGCATATTGTCTACATTCCGGTAGAACGTCGCGACACTGATCTGTTAAAAAAAAAGAAAACAAAAAAGCCACAATAATCGGGCTGATAAGGATAATAATGAGAGAAAAAGCAAAATCTTAGTGAAGAGAAAAAATTGATACCGTGCTAAATAAAATGCATTCATTTCTGATAGTTTTACCAAATTGCCAATTGTTGATGCACAAGTTTTACAAAGCTGTTTAACAATGATATTCAATCATCTTATTCTATGCATATCTATCTCAGTAGAGAAACGTTTTCGCAAAGTTAATTAAAATACTTCCTAAATGCTAGTAATGTCTTCTTTGTCATTTGATATAATAAACATAAAACTGTCAGTAAATTACCTATGAATATAGGGGGGCCTTTTAATGGATGATCCACCACTATTGGCCTGCTAGATATGATTGGAGGGGCTGGGTGGAGCGAAGCAGGCACCAAGGGTTGCCTTTCAGGAAAACACGGAGGATGGCACGGTCCCATAGCCGGCGGGGCTGGCACACAGGGTCCTAAGATTGGTGCATGTACTGGTGGTGCGGGTATACGGCACGGCGAGTGGCATGGACGTGGAATACATATTGGACGGCATGGGGGCCTAGGGCAAGGGTTACATGGTACACATACCATAGGGCAAGGGGGAGGTGGAGGTTTCTTTGGGGGAGGGGGTGGTGGCGGAGGTGGACTGGAACAGCAACAGCAGCAACAGCAGGCTGGAATCGTTAAGATTTCAATAAGAAACTGGACTATAGATAACAAATCCCTAAACATATGGATAACAAATCCCTAAACATATGAATAACAAATCCCTAAACAGAACTATCTGGTAAGATGTAAATTTCTAATACTGGAGGTAGTAATAGAGGTGTACTCTTCGATGTGAAGTGCTATTTCGCCAACTCCTCATCTAAATAAAGGCTACAAAGTACTTACGCGGTCGTGGACAAACTTGTTATGCGATATAAAAAGAAGAGAAAGTGAATTAGAATATGAGTAATATTTGAGTCTGAGATTATTGCAATCGAATAAAGTTTCAGCAAGGACAACTTGGGAAGAAAAATTTTATTCTATAAGTCATGACACTTACTTGGCCGAGGACAGCAGATGCATGATCCTAGGAAAAAAAATTGGACTTAGGATAGACATTTGCATTAATCTGATCTGCTACAGGATCTTGACGGACGTGCATTTTTTTTTTCTTTTTTTGATGACTTGCATACTGAAAGTATAGCCTTCACGAACCTTTGAATTTGGGGCTTTCATTCAATGCAAGGTAATTAAGATTAAATGAGATTACCTGGTATTGTGGATGGACCACACATTGCTGAAAGGAAATGACAAAGACACGTGTGTTATAACTTGTATTACACGCCAATGGACATCTTATCAAATGCTAAGGTAAAATAATGATATATTTTTCAATTTTATCGTTCCTTTTCTTCGCGAAGCTAGATAAAGGTGGTTCTTAGCCTTAAACGGATCTCTAGTGGCATGTATAACATTGAAACCACAACCGATACAAATAGATAAATAGCTGATTCAGATATCATACCTCTGTTGGTCTTAATTCAAGAGTTATGAAAGCATTTCACTTGTTCGAAGTGATCGGGAGGCGATCTTAAGTGTTCCATCATGTGGTACTAAGCAGCCCATAATATTTGTGTAAACATGGATATACGCTTTCGATATCATGCACAACCTCAAAAAAGCTTGTTAATCACTCACATCCGGGACAACAAACCGAGCAACATCCAGGGCGTTCGCCGTAATAACAGGCACGCCTTCCAGCTTGGAGTTTGTTTGGAGCACCCATGTCATTTAGCTTTTTATAACTGAGGCTTAACAAGTAGTTGCTTCCATTTCCTCTTTGCGCCTTGGCTGATTTATCAGGATATATTCTAATGATGGTCTCTTGGTTTTTATTCGTGATTTGAGGTAGTATAAGTTTTGCCACTTTCATCGGCATGTTAATGCGGTATGTGCTTCGCCTGGACGCCAATGAGCTGTTGTAGAAATCTTTCACGTTGTAACGACGCGATGCATTGTGGTCTTTATCTTCAACTGAATGTTTCTCTAGAGTAAAAAAATAAGGTGAAATACTTTATTGCACGTTTTCACACCTGAGGGTTTATTGTTATTTTTTATCGCGGTGCGAAACCAATCAAACATGATCAATAAGCACGGTTTGAAAGTAATGCTTCTACGGAATTCTACCCTTAACTAGTATCATTTTTTTATGCTTATCGTGAAGCATATAACCTGCTTACATATCAGTATTATTTCCTTCAGAATTGTCACTGTCTTTTTTTCCACTTACTAATAGTCAAATGTCCCAGTCCACCTATTTTAGGAACGCTGGATTTTGACTTATTTAGCACGCAGCTCGGCTGGTCGATCTATGTGACATAAACCTCCTTAAGAATAAATGGTTGATACTTACAAAGCAATGGACTTCCAGTCTAAGGGTAAATTTAATTACGAAAATAATAAAGAGAAATTTATATTGCTCCTCTGCAGATTTCTATGTTTGTAGAAAACGAGGCCACTCAAAGAAATTTAATATGTGATTAACAAATACAATTCCTGAGGCTTAAGTGTGTTAATTTTTCAATTCAATTCTTTCTTTCGAAAGAACGAAAAAAACCATTAGTACTATTTAACATAAAGACAAATAGATTAAACAAACAATAAATCAGCACCTCGGTTGATAATTTTTAGCACAATTCTACTCTAAATAATTGATGACTCTGAAACAAAGCCAAAGCCAATGCCAAAAGAAATATTGACTACGAAAGAAATGATTACAAACCTGATTTCAGTCGCAATGTCGAAACATTGTGAATGCAGATTGCTACAAGAAATATTTTAAAATTTTCCAAAAGTCGAAGACACATGGTAAAACCCACTTGAGAAGGTTTCTCTGACAAAATGCCACATTAAATAGAAGTCTTTGTAGAGTGTAAATGTTCTTTTACCCATTCCTCTGTGGCATGTTTCAGTCTTCAGGAAATATCACATGTTACTGAACTTCGCGATGTATTTCCAGTGCCGTAAATACAACTTCGGAAAAGCAGAGGTAAAAGTGGCTGGTGGTGTTTTTTCTAGGACAAACGACCACCTTAAAATGGAAATAAATAAAAAATCAGGTCGCAAAGGTCTTCAGCGTCTAAACACCAGCGCAGGTCATTTAAAACAAAAGTGTCGTCAAAAAACTTCAAACTTATCGCTTGTTCGGCCAAAGAGGGTAAAGTCACTCAACAATAACCAAAATTACCTCACGGCCCCAAAGAAAAACTCTTCTGACGTTGCTGAGTTGTACTGAAACCGGCAATGTGACATACATTGATTGGGACCAAACTGAGAAGATGAGATAAAGCAGCTGACGATTTAGATAAAAAATGTCCTCAGGTCTTCTGGGATCAAGCATTTCGTGGTAAGACCAAAAATACTGATATCGTCTTTTAATTACACGGTTGAGGGGTGAAATAATATTTAAACGTTAGATACATAATTTGAAAAGCTTGACCGAGCTATTGACGTTAAAATTGCTATTACACTGTGTTCCTTCAATGTAGTTTCAAAGAAAGGGACTAAAGCCAGGTTATGGTCGATTATGCCATATAAGCTTTGTAAAGTCAGTTGTATCTAGTCTACATGAGTTGTGTGGTGAACGATTTATCTGTGCACTGGTTAATATGGATTGCAAAGGGTAACACTCGTTGAGACACTCGGTAAACCACTTAAATCCTTCTCTTAACATGATCGTGTCCTTATTGACTGAGTGGGAGGGGAGGACGGGAAAACATTTAGATTGGGGTCATGATGTACATTATCATATGGCCACTAAATTTTGAAAATTAAGTAGGACTTTCTTGCCTAAAAACGAAGGGCGCAAACTAGAACACTACTGAAAAGACTACAGAAAAAAATTTTTTTTCCAGATGGCTATTTCTGTCCATGCACGCACGGGTCTACATACAGGAATCGTTTATTTTTTCCACAAACACGCGCGGGGGATAGTGAGGGTCATGTGGGCGTTACGCAATTACGAAGAACGGATCTGCCGTTGAGTTTTATTTGACTCTGATGATGACGTCGATAAACTTGTTCAAATTTGATATAGCATCACAGCAAAATCATCGGGATGCTCTCGCTCGTAAGATCGCATCACATCGACGAATTTCGGTAATTTTCTCATAATGTAAGAAAATTTGAGAAAACGCTGATGCTACGAGGGGAATTATATATTTTAACTAAAATATTATCATAGATCAATTTAACGTCAAAATACAAATCTGAAAATAAGTTCATTCAGTACCAAGATCGCCTAGAAAGGGTATTTGTCGTAACTTAGGGCTTCATAAGTATAACCGGTGTATTTGTCTTTCCCCATATTTAAAAGGTTTAATTTAGAGCTCACAATGTAGCTGTTATTCAGGTTTGACTAAAACCGTCTCCATTATGAGGAGGTAGCTTAGTGTATGGGAACATCACGTCACTGGTTTGACATTTTCCTGCTTCTTCTTCTCTCTCCTTCTTCCTCTTTTAGTTCTTTCTTTTGGATTTTCTGAATTTGCGGCCTTCTTCCTTTTTATATTATCAGTTCGTTTTGGAATTTCATCCCTCTTTATCCATATTCCTCCTGATGTATAATCTTGCTCTCTAAGAAATTAAAGGTTGCGATAAAAACGCATTTCCTCAGTGATCGAAAAAGAACAAAATAGCCAAATTATTATATTTGACTTTACACATGGCGTTAACATTAAGAAATTAAATCTTGTGCCAACTAAACATTTCCACATAATCACGTTCAACTTTTGTTACTCACGCCACATAGATTGCTAGCTATGGGAAGTCATATGTGACAGGTATCACTCAAAAACTGTTTTTACGTCTTGGTTGCACAACAAGCCTATTATAAGATCTGATCGCGTGGAAAAAATCAATCCGTGTAAAGAAAACTTGAAAGAATCTTTAAACAAAGTGCGAGTGTGGTATCGTGTAAACTGGATTTAGTCAAAGGCATGTAACTTACGTCTTGCATAAGTTGCAACTCTTTTGGCACATCTTCATTAAGTAGTCATTACTAAAACCAATCGCATCTCCATCACAATACCCGTTGACGGTATATCCAGAACAGGCGGGGTCGTAATCTTCACATTGCGCTAAACGACAACGAGTGCAATAAACTTCATCAGGCAAATCTGACGATTTCATGAATTGTAGTAGAAAATTCAACGCACAAGAAAGAAACTGAAAAGGTCAGTGGCCTATCACTTTGGCGTTTCCACTTACCTCACGGTGTAAAAAAACGCGAACACGTGGAAATTTAGAACTCTTGAAATACTGAGTTTTACAGTTCAAAATATGTGAGTCTCATTCACTGAAAATATTTAGAAAGAAGCTGTAGCGGACTTCACAAGGTATGAGAAATTTAGTTTTTTCGTGCCAAAATACATCGTCTTTATATCTAGCTTGGGGCAATAATGCATACCACGAGAGCACTGCCTTCAAGAGGGTTATGTAACTGTTATTTAATTGGGTGAAATTCAACGGTGCTGAGGAAGAGAGCGTTACTACCCTGACGCGGTGCTTGCGTGTGCTTTAACTGCTTAACATCAAATGGATGACTCACTACTGTATTGATAGGAACTGCCAGGAAGAGTGTATGGATCTGGGGGCACAGGATTCCGTTGCATTTGTATTTCATAGTTCCAAATGTTAGGGGCTGGACTAAGCGCTTGAGGATGAACTGGGACGAGAGAAGGAACCAATGGAAGAACGGCTTCACTTGGTCCATTATTCCAAAACATGTTTGGCACAAGAGTACCTAATGTAGATTCGAGAAGTCAATGGAATTCGAAGTCTCTTCCTGTCATAACTTAGCCTTAATCGAGCGAGAGAATGAAAAGGTGAAATATGTATGAAATGACATGCATGCTTCGTTCTTCGTTAAAGTCCAAGAAAAGGAAGATCAAAACAAAAAACCAATACCGACACAAGACGCAATACTAAGTTCTCTCCTTTGGGCCCAACGTTTATCATTGTCATTGAAAATATTTTGACCAATTGACTCAATTTTGTTTTTCAAAAAAGTGGCAAGTTAGATTCTTGATTTTTATACTCACCAGTTGAAGGTTCAGAAACATTTTGACCTGCAAGTGCATGCAAAAGATTAGGAAGTATTTCCAGTTTTTTTTCGAAAGTAAGGTTGCAAAGCCAGCACTGTGATGTTGAAAGTGAATCTAAATGTTACTTTTCTTGATGACGAGTTAAAGGAAATAAAAGGTTATTGGCGGGGGGGGGGGGGGGGG